TCGGATGGATTTCCATTGCGCGGATTACATAGCGTGATCGATACGGAGGCATGATTAAAGCCGGTAAACTCGCGGAAGGGAAGCGTTTTATTTCCGAGGAGAAATTGCGCGATATTGCCTCGCGATGCCGGAGGAACAGAACTCGGTGAGGTACAAGTTATTAAACGATCTCAACGATGTTACTTCATGATGACCCTAGAACTCATAAAGCGGATCCGCTTCGTCGCGTTTTCTTCGATATACCTTTCTCGTTTTCAGCCGCGCAAATTTATTTCCGTGCTACCATTATCAGGCGAGATAACCTCTACTGTGCCGTCAACAACGCGAATAAAGCGGCGAAGCGCGTTTTTATGAATAGCGCTATTTATTAATTGCTAATTAACGGAGACGCGGCGAGAAGTCGATTAAGATTATTTTGATAACGTAATAACGAAGAGTTTGAGTTGAGATAATGGCTAATGGAATGGTGTATCAAGCAGTTAGAAAGATCAGCCGTTTTATCTTGGGAGAAAAATCAATGTCGTAAAGTTCCATCGTAAAATCAAAGTCTCTATTTCCAGTTAATATCGGCTATAAATGTGTGCGGCAAGATTTTGTGAAAATTGTCGTTTCTTACGATTCTACTTTTAAGACCCTTCGCGCTGTCATTCCGCTCCTGCTCCGCGCTGCGATCGTAAATCCAGTCCTATCTGCAAATAGTGTTCTTCCGCTTATTTCTTAAATCGATGGAGAGACTCGCGTTCCTCTTAGGAACATCGTAAAGTTCGATGCGTTATCGAGCGTGCCGCGGGATATTGTTTCTTTACGATCAAAATCGTAAAGTAAGATGCGTGTATGCGTGATTGTACATAAGGTTCATAGCTTCTTTCAATACGCGCACGCAAAGCTATATGTATATATTACATATACCTCTCGACCGGGATCTTCTTAAATCTTTTCAATCTTGACGCTTTAATCCAGAAATTCTTGATCCCGGGATCTAGCGCAGCAAATAAGAAATCCACGCGCGCAACCGCCGTCAATGTCTTGTTCGGCCACCCTTTTACGATCTCGGAGGGATGACGTCCCGCAATACAAGCACTCGCCAGCGACGCTCACCTTTTTATTATTCCACGGCGTGTGAGACGAAGTTCGCGTAGGGCGTGTCGCGCTATTTGCATTCTCATTACCATCGGCGGTTCTTATTTAAATAGGTGAACAACTGCAAAGCACTCTGGTGGTCGGCGAGCTCGTTAGGCTCTTCCCTCCCAAGTGGGTGAGAAAGAAGACGGTGAGCGGGAAAGAGAGTCGTATGCACAGGTATACTGGTCCGTTGCGTCTATACTCTTCCGACGCACCCTCACCTCCATCCGCCACAGACTGTCGCTCTCGACCCCTTCCCGCAAGACGTAGCCGAGCGAGAAGAGCCGGATGGCTGCAATTTCGCGCGGGGACGCGAATCCTCGTGACCTCCGACCTCGTCAACACCGGGGGCAGAGAGAGGGAGGGAGGGAGAGAGGAAAGGGAAAGGGGGAATCTTTTAAATTCAACGCGGTACGCTTCATTAGTGGCTGCGGTTTGCTCGGCGGTCGCAACGATTTAATCCGAGCTTGCGCGTGGCGTCAAGCCGCGCCGCCATCCCGAGGAAATTCAATTTCGCTGCGGCGGTAATGGACCAGAACGTTCCGGGGCCAGAGAGTTAGGCTGTCTCTCGGTGGCCGCGTCGGAAACGCCGATCGACTGGCTGTATCTCTGCTGTGCGGAATTCATTCGAACGTAATACGGATCCGAGAGCGTACGTCGCGATCGCTCGCTTCTCGACGTTCCGCTCGCGGCGTTTGTTCGCGCCAATCGATCGTGCGCGATGCAGCGCAGCGCGGTCCGTAGCTATTCGCGCGCGGGAAACGCCGCGGGCGAATCGACAGGAGAAGTATGCCCAGTCGTGCGTGCGAATGGCGTGCGTACTCGAAAACTTTCGACGCGGTAGCTGTGACACAAATATAAGTAACTGCTGGAAGTTGGATGTGACTTCCACGGAAACTTAGCGCATTTGATCTGAAATTTATAATTACATGAATACGCCATATTTATAAATATAAATTGTGTATTTTCTGTCGAGTAGAAATTTTTGGATAAAATTTAAAACAGGTCTTATCTAAATTGAAATTAAACGAGGAACTTGTATTTGTTATTGTTCTATTTTTTTAATATTGTTGCCTTATCTGTTAATTGTTTTTAATTAATTTTAAGTGTTGTGAAAAACATTTTTAATGCATATATTTTTTATCCTACATTTAATCTGGATTCTAACTTTTATATTTGAATTGAATTTTTTATTTCTCTATCTACTTAATTAATACAAATAAAATTTTATTTTAAAATTATTAATAATAAAGTATTAAATTTATTAGAGTAATCCGATTTAACGCAGGCCAAACTTACTACAAAATTAATGTAATGCGAACCATTAGCTAGCTATATTTTGGTCTATATTATTTTGGAAAACTGGATTTTAATACTTACAAAAAGCTTAGTATATAAATATATTTGAAATAAATGTGAATGAAAAAATTATGCAAAGTCAAATATAAATATAGAACTTTTCAGTTCAGTCGGAGGAAATTAAATTGAAAATAAAATTTGTTTATAGATACATTTTATATGAAAATATTTTTATCAGGCGTGTGATTGCAGGTAAACTGCATCCGTTTCTAGTAGATTTTCAAGCCTGTCGAATGTCGTGCCATTACGTAACGCTATGCAAATATCGCGCCAAGTCCTTCGAGAGTAAAACGTCGAGTATACGAAAGATTTCTTAGTTCAGAAACAAGAGCAACGGCGGGAGCTTCTCAAAGTTACTGCGCGGAACAAACGACAAAGTTCGACCTTACGATTCGATCCAATATATTACAAAGACACGCCGTACCTCTCGGAATTCATAATGGCACATAAGCTCACCTAGTTTCGAAGTAATAGTGATAAGCATTTTATTTCGCTCGTACTTCTGTTATCTCTCGCGAGCTTTCGTGAATTAGGCATTCGCGTAACGCGTAATTAAGCCCTGTCCTATTTCCGTAACAAAGCAAATTCAGCCGCCTTTATTAACCCACTGCGTGCTGCCGCTGTACTCGCATTACAGATTGCCTCAAGACATAATGCTAAAACTTCGAGATCCAATTTCTGAAGTAATTTTCAGTTAAATATATGAGCGCAGGTCTCTGACTTTGAAAATGCTTACAGAGCTATGTAGCGCATAGATTCTTAAAAACACATTATTTAAAAAAATATAAAAAATGCAAAAATATTAAAATCAATGCTGCATAATTCTCCATAATTAACTATTGTATTATATCATAATTATTATTACTGATAACACAATTGCTTCTATTCATAAATCCGTATTTAAATTTTCAACTTTGAATTAGTTTAGAAATTGGGTCGCAGAATTATAGTGCAAAATCACAGGCCATTTTGCACGTATGTTTATCTACCCTCTGATGTTGTGTTTGATGTAAACACAGTAGCATCCTTATTAATCGTAATATTTTGCAATGCGTTATTGCTCTCATATATTTGTTGCTTTTCAATAACTCGGACGACCAGCGGCAGCTTTATATTATTCAACCGTGTAATCTAGACTGTGCAATTAGCTTCTCACTTAATTAGGACAAAATTTAATTAACAACTTTAATTTCAGCAGAAATAATGAATCGCGCGTCTTTCGCGAAAATCTAGCGAATTAATTAATTACGATGTGCGTCTTGCACAGACAAGTGTCCAGCGATCGTTGGAATAGAGAATTTTATGTAAGATCTAAGCAGGTACACTATGATTAGTGTGCCGGGGCGGATTAAAAAATAAAATCCCGTGGCACAGGAGTCGCAGGCATATTGATTTTTCTACTCCGGTGCAGCCAATGACCTAACGTTACCTCGCTGCAAGCACGACCCTAACAAAGTTATCCGAAGAATGACGTGCCGTACACGGCGCAGCACGGTGGAAATCGACACCCATTTACCACTTCGTATTCTCGATCATGTCCGTACACGTGACCCACCCCTTCGGGTTACACTGAGCATCTTAAGACACCATCTGGCAACCGCCCAATCCGGTCATATTTTTCCGATCGTAACGGGTCACGCGGATATGTGACAGCATCCCCGAGCCGTGGAGATTTACTGCGGGCATTAAATTACAACCGTCGTGGCTGATCTTTCGGGGATCGGTATCTTTTGAACGAGACGTCGCGACTAGCTCGGTGACCAACGATGCTGTTGACTGTTTCCTTTTTTTCTCTCCTTTTTTTTTTTTATTATTTAAGGATGTTGCCTGTCGGCTTTTTAGTCCCGCGGGATCCGATCTTCCCTTGTTGAAAATTGAGGTTTGCCCAGAAAGTACATATATATGTTGCGGTCCGTTGAAAACAGGATGATCATATTTTTCTGCGGATCAAAACAGGTGGAATAAGCTACGTTTGCAATTTTTAGAAAAGAAAACACAAAACAGGATTTATATAATTTTTTGTTATCAATTGGGCAAAAGAGAAAATATCCTAGCCATCAGAATTAAAAATAATAATTTTTTTGGAAAATAATTTAGATACTTTAATTATCTGTTACAACGTAACAGATAATTAAATAATTTAAAAGTGATATTTACAAAATTCATTATGAATTAAAAACGTGTCTTTTTTTCGCAATAAGTAAATTTTATTTTACCTTTTGCTCTACATATCTGTCTCTGTACCAGCTATATTAATAGACATTTCCAATTTATAAGAGATTATCGAAAATGTAAGATATCCTAATGTTAAATCCGATACATGAATTTATGTCTATAATCGTCAATATATGTCGATAACGAATCAAATTAAGATACAATTTTAAATCACTGTAGAACGCTTATTTCGAGAATCTTTATATCCGAATGTCCAAATTCAGTTATGCGTCCGTAAAAATAAGTTCCATCTCGTATCCAAGTCTAAATTGAATTCTCGCGATGTTTCGCATTTTTGCTTGCAGAACCCACGGCGGTGAAATCCGAGTGTCGGCGCAAGAAACGATGAACGAATCGGGACGAGCCGGGAACGAAGCGGCGCGATAATAATAATATGTGGACGACGCGGCCACGGACCAAACGAAAGTGGCGACAATCGTCGACCCGGTCGTGCAGAGAACGTGACAATCGGTGGAATCGCCGTCGGGACGGCTTCCGCATCATCTACTCGGTAATATTGGCGGCTTGCATGGCGACACAGGAGGCGAGGGGCGCCAAGTGTCCGCCACCGGACACAATACCCGGCTGCCCGTGTTACAACTTCGAGAACGGCGGTCTGTTCCTGGAATGCGCAGGTGCCACCGAGGAGTCCCTCAGGAACGCTTTGTCCGGCGTGATACATGCCACCGGCGGGGAAGGTAACCGTCCATGATACAATGCGCAAAAAGCAGGGATCACCGGAGAACACGTATTCCCATCGCATACATAAGTAGAAACAGCCACCGCAGTGATACGTCCGTATTGTGGGGCAATATCGTACGCGCAGGAACAGCTGTGGCTCGGAATAAACAAAAAGAGAAACGCAAAAAAAAGCTCAAGAGACTATTCAGTATCTCCATAAATAGTCAATGAGATCATATGATGCCTTTTTAACTCTTATTCTCTTATTATGAAGAATTTCAAAATTTTTAATATTTAAATGTAATTCTATTTTTGTAAATATATTCACATATTGTTGAGAAAATTGGAAATAGTTTATATGTTTATATATAAACAAAGGCAGTAGAATATGTTTTAGTTTAATTCGACAGTATCAATACTTTTCAACTCTCATATATCTTTGCAAAATTAGAATATTATCTTAAATTTTGCGTTAATTAAATCGTGTTATATTTTACGCATATTTTGCGTAAGATTCTTTATTTTTTAACGACATGAATTTTTATATTCCGCGAGTAGATATTAAGAAAAAATCTTTTATTCGTCATCATCGATATTCGATGAAGAATTTTACGTGTGTCCGATAGAGATAAAAATAACTTGAAAGGAGAATTTAACTTTTAATCTCGTGACTGTACAACACACAAAGCATGTCAATAGCTTTGGGTGAAATATCGTGCGATTGTTTCAGGGGCGCTCGTTCAGTCATTGAGCGTGTACGAATTGGATCGAAAAGTGGAGGAACTTCGTGCTGTTGCTTTCCCGGCGGGCTCGCAAATTAGGCATCTACAAATATCGCATTCCGCGATTCGCGAAATAACTGAGGATGCTTTCGAGCGATTAAGCAAAAGCCTGGAATCCTTGGCACTCGTATCCGGCCGACTACCTCACGTACCTCAAAAGGCCATGGCCACGCTAAGCCTACTCAAAGCGCTGGACCTCGAGGCCAACCTCGTTCACGAGCTGCCGAGCTTCAGTTTCTACGGGCTCTCGTTAATTAAACTGAATCTGAAGGGTAATCAAATCATGAAAATTTCCGAGTACGCCTTTGCCGGACTCGAGGGCTCTTTAAAGGATCTGGATCTGGCGGAGAACAAGATCAGAGTATTCCCCATGACGTCCTTAAGAAGATTAGAACATCTCACGTCGCTGCGTCTCGCGTGGAATGAGGTATCCCAGCTCCCGGAGGACGGCTATTCCAGGCTGGACGCCTTAAACTTCCTCGATCTCAGTAGCAACAATTTCAAGGACATTCCGCTCAATTGCTTCCGCTGCTGTCCGTCCCTGAAGACTCTATCCCTCTATTACAACGCGGTCGAGTCGGTCGACAAGGATGCCTTTATATCGCTGATCGATCTCGAATCGATAGACCTCAGCCACAACAAGATCGTGTTCCTTGACGTAGCTACCTTCCGTGCCAATCAAAAGCTCAGGTCGATCGATCTCAGCCACAATCACATACACTATATCCGGGGCGTATTCTCGCGGCTGCCCGAATTGAAGGAGCTCTTCCTGGCAGAAAATAACATTCTCGAGATACCGGCGGAGACGTTTGCCGGCAGCACGAGCCTCTCGGTCGTGTACCTCCAGCAGAATGCCATCCGGAGGATCGATGCGCGCGGTCTGGTGACGCTCGGCCAATTGGCGCAGCTGCATTTGAGCGGAAATTACATCGAGAAGGTGCCGCGTGACTTCCTCGAGCATTGCGAGAATCTCTCCACGCTGTCGTTGGACGGTAATAGTATCCGCGAGCTTGAAGTCGGCACGTTCGCCAAGGCGAAGCAGCTGCGCGAGCTACGGCTGCAGGACAATCAGATCACCGAGGTGAAGCGCGGCGTGTTCGCGCCGCTACCGTCGCTCCTCGAGCTGCATCTCCAAACAACGCCATCACGGACATGGAGACCGGCGCGCTGAGATCTCTGCACAGTCTGCAACACGTAAATCTGCAGGGTAACCTTCTGGCGGTGCTGGGCGATGTGTTCCAAGTGTCGAACGACGTCGGTCAGAGCGAAAACAGCGGCAGTTCCCTCGTCTCTATTCAGCTAGACAACAATGGTCTCGGCGTCCTGCACAATGACTCATTAAGGGGTCAAGCCTCGGTCAGGATCATGTGGCTTGGACACAATAGGCTGACGCGTCTTCAAGCTCCATTGTTTCGAGACCTGTTGCTGGTTGAGCGACTGTATCTCACGAATAATTCCATCTCGCGCATCGAAGACACCGCCTTCAAGCCAATGCAGGCGCTCAAGTTCCTGGAGCTTAGCATGAACCGGCTGAGTCACGTAACCGTGAAGACATTCTCGGAGCTACACGAGCTCGAGGAACTTTACTTGCAAGATAACGGTCTGCGCCGTCTGGATCCTTACGCTTTAACGGCTTTGAAGAGACTGCGCGTTCTCGACCTCGCCAACAATCACTTAAATGTGCTGCACGATAAAATCTTCCAGGAAGGACTGCCGATCAGAACGCTCAATCTGAAGAACTGCACCGTCAGTGTGATCGAAAACGGTGCCTTCCGCGGACTAAACAATCTCTACGAACTGAATCTCGAGCATAATCATTTCACTGCCACGGCGTTAGACCGCCTAGACATACCGGGGCTAAGAGTTTTGAGAATATCGTACAACAATTTTAGTCAGATCAACGCGAACTCGTTGGACGGCCTACCGTCCCTTCAGCATCTGGCGATGGATTCGTCGCAGATCAACCGGATGCCAGCCGAGATTTTCGCGAAAAACAAGAATCTTGCGAAACTGCTGCTCAGCAACAATTTGCTCAAGATGCTGCCGGCGATGTTGTTCTTAGGCCTCGAGGCGCTCAAGGAGATCAAACTTGACGGCAATAGGTTCCAGCAAGTTCCGTACGATGTGTTTGCGAACGCGAGCACGGTGGAGTTCCTCTCGCTGGCCAACAACGCTCTCATTCAGGTGGATATGTCGCGATTGTGCGGATTGACGAGTCTGCGGGAGCTCGATCTACGCGGCAACTACATCTCATCTCTCACCGGCTTCGCCACCGTCAACTTTTCTCGCCTCATATCCGTGGACTTGAGTCACAATCATTTAACGGCGCTCCCGGCGAATTTCTTCGCCCGCTCGAACATGCTGCGAAAGATCGAACTGGCGGCCAACAAGTTTCGTCAGATACCAGCTGTGGCACTCACGGCGCAAAATATACCTGGTCTCACCTGGCTGAACGTCACCGCCAATCCTCTCATGCGAATACACGAGATCAGCTCAGAAGCGAAATATCCGGCTCTGCAGGAAATTCACATTTCCGGAACGAATTTGACGATAGTCACCAGCCAAGACTTTGAGGCGTTTCCCGCGCTGATGCATCTCTTCATGGGTAACAACATGATCTCCAGGGTATCCCCCAGCGCTTTTCGAAGTCTTCCGAATTTGCTAACGCTGGATCTCAGCGTGAACGAGCTGGAGCTGCTACCGCAGGAGAGGCTGAAGGGACTGGAGCACCTTCGATTGCTCAATCTCACGCACAATCGTCTGAAAGAGCTCGAGGACTTCCCGCCTGACCTGAAGGCTTTGCAAGTGCTCGATCTTTCGTACAATCAGATAAGCGGAGTGGGAAAGAGCACGTTCCAACACCTGGAGAATCTAGCCGAGCTGCATCTCTACGGCAACTGGATATCGTCGATCTCGCCGGACGCGTTCAAGCCGCTGAAGAAGCTCAGGATTTTAGATCTAAGTAGGAACTTCTTAGCGAACTTACCGCTGAATGCCTTTCGACCTCTCGAAACGCAAATACGGAGTCTACGGGCTGAGGGTGAGTACGATCTATTTCTTTATCCGCGCGGTTCCGATTTTATTTCGTTATATTTGTAAAAATTCTATCAAAACATGTCCATCGCAAACGATTACAAAAGATTAAAGATCTATTTTAATTTTAAAAGATTATTAAAAAAGAATATCTTTGTTACAATCTTATTTATTTTCAAATTAATTATTAAACAATATTCTTATTAGTATCTATTTGTTAATATGTTTCTTTTTATGTTTCAATTTTTCTTGTTTCTTTATTTCTTGAAAAATTGCAAGTGTCTTGTGTATAAATTATTTGTACACTTTGGAATTATTATTTATCGTAAATGGATACAAAGAAGTTTGCCTAAGTTCGACAATATTGCTCGTGGAAAGCACACATGTCGTCTTCACACGGATCGCATTGCGCTATGCTCGACAATAGCAATCTCAGCTGGTGAGATGATTGGTCGCATGCAGAAATTCACCGCCGATGTCTTCGCATGCAAATTCGGTTCACAGTCGAAAATAGCCCCGCGGGTAGTTGCGCGAAACTCCTCGACATCGAGTGAACGATATGAACGCGGAGCACACAATCGGCGAGTCGATGTTGCGAAACGTCACGGCGCTATTCAGTATTCGGGGACGACAATAGCATCGCGGTAATTCGGGTTGCAATAAACGTCACACGGTATTTACGGCAAATCCAAATGCCCGATCTCTCATAACTCTCGAGACTTTCGTGACGATCGTGACATGGCGCGGTAAGAACTTTTCTTCTTTCTTTCTGAAAGCTTTAGGGACAAATGATCGTCTATATCGGGATCGTGGAACTTCTATGATAATTACGAGGGTTATATCCGCTGAATTAGAAAACCCACTGCACTGCGACTGCGAGTCTCAGGAGCTTTGGGAATGGCTGCGCGATCATCAGAAACTGGTCGGCGGCGGGATGAGCCGGAATCGCGGGGGCGGACTGAGGGTGAATGACATGGACGGCGGTCTGCTGCGGTGCGAGCAGCCGCCGGAGCTGCGCGGTCTCGTGTTCCTGGATCTGGATCCGCATGCCTTTTGCTCCGCGCCGCTGGTCTTGAAACTGGCGATCCAGGATATCCAGCCGTTCTCCGTTCTGGTGTCGTGGCAGAGCAGGAATCACTCCGGCTTGCGCGGCTATCAGGTGGCCTATCACGCTCTGGACAACGTTGACGAGGTACTAGAAAGTAAAAGTTCTCATCATATAAATGCGCATTACAATGCTTCGCTGAAAAGCGAGCGCGCAACGTGAAGTATAATCGAGCGAGCGTAAACGGCGCTTGATTCAATCGATAGCAAAAGCCGAGGACACGCTTTTTCTGTCTTTCCCTCTCTTTCTCTCTTTCAACGTCGCTCTAATTCATTCTTTACAAAAACGTGTCGTCGCATCCGACATCGTCCTCGCTGATCGATCGACGCAACCGCGCAAAAAAGCAGCGCGGCGCGTTTCGGCCGGATTAAGTATTTTTACCGCTCCGAAAGAAATCGAATTTATTTATTTTTAGCAATTGCTGGGATTGTGATATACTCGCACATTCAATCTCCAGCATTCGTCGTGCCGTGAAAAAGAATTTTGCGTCGGAATATTTTCTATAACAGTACTCAGGAGAGAAAGAGAGGAAGAATTAAAACGCTGAATATAAATATAAAGTTAGAAAATTGATTATATTTGTGAAATATAATCGACAAATTTATCAAAATATAATTTCTACAGAGATACATTAATATCACTTCCTCTTCCAAAGTTCATTCGAAAATTTCAAAGACTCACCGTCGCTTTTACCGCTCTGATGTCCAGGTACGTGCCAAAATACTCGAGCCCAGCGCGCGCTCGGTGAAACTGTCGAAGATGTCGTCGAGCACGCGCTACCTGATCTGCGTGTTCGGTCTCGGTAATTGGATGACGTCGCGATCGCCGGAGGACAGCCCGATGGAGCAGCTGAACTTCACGCAGATCGAGATACTCGCATCCACGCCGAGCACGCAGATGCGGACTCGCCGACCAGCCGTTGCACAGAGGTGAAGACGCTGGACGCGCCGGACGCGATAATCAGCAGCGACGGCTCGGCGATGGGCGACGTCGGCAGCGTCAGCAGCTTCCTGACGAGACGGCTCGGCCTGATAGTTGGCTGCTGCATGGGCTTTATCGTCTTCCTGCTGCTTGTCTCCGTGCTCGGCTATCTGAAGGTGAAGAAGCAGCGGGAAGCGGTGAAGAGGGAGCAGCAACCGATACCGCCCGAGTACATATCGTACAGGCATTTTAGCATACAAAGCGGCGAGGCCGGCCACGCCGCCGTTCGGCAAACCAGCCAGGACGGCCAGCACTCCAACTTCATCAACAACACCACGCTGAACGTATGAGAAAAGCCGCGGAACTCCCGACTCGTGGAGGTTTCGAACGTGTAAGCAGAGTCGATTCGTACGACAATCTCGTCGATTCGAGTGTGCTAACCGATTCGAAGGGCTCCCGAATTGCGGAAGTTTCGTGTTTACCCGCCAAACGATCCCGTTAAACGGACAATCCTGTGTCGAATTTTGTCGACGTCGAACTGTCTTGCGAACTGAGAAACTGCCATAATTAGCGGTGCTGTGCGCTCGAGTGACACGCACGGAGAGTGCTGCAGTTGATTCGGTCGAGTGCTCGAGACGAGCGTTCTCGATCGTTGTTGTTCACCTCCCCCCCCCCCGCCACCCCCCTAACCCCACCTCACCCCAGCAAAGCATCGCTACTGGTCTTGTGCCAGATCCCCGCGAATCAAGTCTTACAGCAACGAAGAGTTCAAGCGTGTTCGCATGTGTGAGTACGGTGAGAATGCGCGCGTGAATGTGATCTCTATTAAAACTAAGTAACGGAGCATTTTATAAAGAATTTTCTACAAGCCTGAATCTTTTTCGTTTCGAAGTAGTTTTAATCAATTCGCGACGAGGCATCGTATTGGACGAGCGCAATCGAGCGAATAAAAATGTCTCGTGAGAGAGAGAGAGAGAGAGAGAGAGAGAGAGAGAGAGAGAGAGAGAGAGAGAGAGAGAGAGAGAGAGAGAGAGAGAGAGAGAGAGGGTGAGAGAGTTGTACAGGAAATTGGTATCGATAATAATACGAGCGATGTGAGCCATACAGCGTAGCTCTCGTATACTCTAAAAAATCTTATAGGTTTTGAACAAGACGAGAACCGTATCGTATTGTACTTTCCGCTGGGAATACAAATTGCGATCAATTCAGCCGAGTGCCCTCTATCTGGTTTTGCTTTAAATTTCTCTTTATTAAATTGGGATTTTCAAAGTGTTAGGTACTGAGTGTCGAAATCGATGCGCGCAATCGGAAAGACCTGCGCGCGACGTAGATAGGACGTAAAGTGCACCGACGTCGGATAGACACAAAGAGAACTGTCGCAAATATAAAGACGGATATCATTTTATTCGCGAGAAACCGATCGAACGGCGCCTCGGAGGAGGAGGAGGAGGAGGATGGGGATGAAATCTCGCGTCTCTGTAGAATAATGCTCTGTCTTTTTCAAGAAATATGAAATTTTGAAGAGTGTATGAAGCGCAATTTCGAAGGCCGCGCGTACTCTCGAACGAGCTGTGAGCGGCAAGCGGGAAGTGTGGTAGGTAGATTTTGTTTCCGCGTGTAATACGACGCGCATTTGCCGAACGATTTACGATTAAACACCGCGCTATTACATATCATCCAGTCGCCGTTTCGCGAATGGGAATCGAACTGGGCGGCGGGCGGGTGTGAAGTGGCCATTGTGTTTTCTTAATGGCTCGGCAAACCACGCGGTTTAGGACGTCACCACGCGCCGATCTCGCGAAATGGCATGCCATTTTGCGGTAAACGCCCGCGACGACGGTACCATCAATTTCCGATTGGGCTGGCCGAATCATCAGAAAGGCAGGACGGGAAAAATTGCTCATCCCTGCGAACGATCGATCGCGCGACTCCAGATTTCCCAGCGATGAGAGGGTAAAAGATGTAAAAAGAATGTAAATTAAAAAAAAGTATTTTCCACTCGGTTAGCATTCTAGCACAGTTCTATACGTGATCTAAAAGCAATATTAAATGAACTTCCATTGCAGACGCTAAAATGTGATTTCTTATTGTCAAATATAAAATATAAAAAATATAAAAACGAATTCTTGACATTTTCAACGTGACAAATAGTACGCTCGATTTATTCGCCAAAAAATACGTGGAGAATTTCGCCAATGTTTGTAAAACAAATTAACAAATGGCAAAATAATGAAATTACGCATAAATTTGTTTGAAATGTAAACTCATCTTCTCCTGCGAATACTTGTGTCAGGTGCAAATATCTGTGTCCGAATGCTAGCCATCATTGGAGGTTTGGTGATTAAGGTGACGTTCTGTGAATGGTTTAGAATTTATAAATATACGTGGAACAACTGTATATAGATACACACGTATCGGGCAACTATGTATTCTGTGGTTAAGAATGTCGATATCACCGAGATTATTATCGTAAGAAAAATTCTGATGATCTTTTTAAATAGCGAAACAATAGTAGTTGAATTAGCATCGGCGCGATGACTCTCCATGATTTTCGAGAGGCCAACGAGGCGGATCCATCAGAACTTTTATCGCGATATCCGGCACGCGATGGACGATGTAACGTATTTCGCATTAGCGATGAATGACGCGCGCGGATGGAGCGTTTTCGGAATTCGATTTTGGTCGGCAGATTGACTCGCTCGATATCGCCAATAACTGGTATAATCGCCACGGGTATAAAAGTCGCATTGCCGCAAACGCGACGAAATATCGCGTTTACTGCAAAGGAATTTTTAATTCTCCCTTGCGCGCGCGCGCGCGCGCGCTTCAACAATTCGACGCATCTCGGATTCGCGCTTCAACGGGGACGTGATTATCGAAGCAATACGATATCCTGCGAGCTCTCGTTGTAAAAAATCGTTATAAGGCTATGGAAACGAAGCTCGACGTGTTCGGCGATAATTCATTATCGCATTACCGGATCGTTCGCAGCTGGCGAGAAAGAGAAGCTCCATTCTCAAAGAAGAGGAAAGCAAATGAGCAAAATCTCGAATTAGGCGACCAGCGCGACGCGAGGTCTATGTATGCGTTGTCGTTACACACTGTGTATTGTAATATATACGTACGTCACTGTAATAAAAATGCAAATTCTTTTGTAATCAAGCATTTTTTTATCTCTCACACCTTCCGTGAGGGCGCGCAAACCGAAAGAAAGCATTAATCCGCCCGCGGACGCGGTATCGCGAGCGCGACGAGATTGAACCATAACCGACCGGGTTTTTCTTACGAGCCTTACATACGCGGGAGAGAATAATGGTGTAATTTCTACCATCGTATCGCGCAGCTCACCTACCTCACAGTTGCGCAAACATCTCGATTTTACGAGAAGGCATTTAAAATGCACATAGATTACGTTGCATTATGCCTTACATAGCTTTCGATAGAGTATGGCTTATATTGAAAACTGGATCGATTCGCGGAATATATTAATTTCAATCGGCGATATCGGAACCTGACGAGTTTCATCGAATTCGCAATTGCGCACGGCCGCGCCGGAGTATCGCGGGATAAATCGACAGCTTTACGGCAGACGGAATATACGAGGCAATCTCTATCACTGCGAACCTGTGCTATCACAAAGAACAGGATGAAGATAACTTATTAAAGGTAAGCTTTGCAGAATTTTTTATCACTTTTATATCGACTTTTCTCGGTCGATGTACTTCAAACAAGAATGTCAAGCTGATAAAACAACAACATAAAAATATCTCGCAAGATAATAAATAACAATAAAATTTGAAAATTATTTAAATATTGCTTCTTACTTAATCAAATTTTAAGACAATTGTGTATTATTTTATATTTTTTTACTAAAATTTTATGTTACATTTTTATATAACATAATATTTTAATAAACATTTTTATAAACTAAACTATAAACTTATAACTTATAAAAAAGTTTCAATTTATCGTTTTTTAGAGGCTAAAGTTGATGCTCACAAAATGCTGAAAAGCTGATTGTACCGAGTGGCAATATTCGAGCACAAAACTCAAACAGCGATAGCATCAAACGTCTGTTATGCGTGTATGCGCCAATGAGTGGACTCAGGAACATTTTAGGACATCAGGACATTTCAGGATAAAATATTAAGGTAATCGAAAGAATAACGAAGATCACGGAAAGCCTCGCGACTCCCACGAGGCGCAATCGGAATTTGTAAAGTATACGGCACGCTCTCGTTTATTTCGGCATCCGCCGGGCGGCCGTGGGTGCCTCTTTAAGCCCATCCCTGCGCCTCGTATAAATTTTCCAGCGTCTCGACGAAACGCTTCCCGTCTGCTTTATCGTATTTCCTTGCAATTAACCCCTCCTAGCCGTTACCGCGTCCCGTGCCACCCGCCGCCGCCCGTGGGTTCTGGATCGCGAAGTAGAAGCGTTCTGCATATTTCATTTGTTCCTAGCGCGCTCCGGGAGGCTGAGCGCGTCCCGGTTTCGTTCTTCCGGAATTGCAAGGGCGGTGACCCGTGGCCAGGAAATTGAAACTCACCGTTAAGAACACGCGTAACGCCTAGGGAGGAGGCAAACCCGACCGAGCGACGGGCGACGGAAACGGCGGCTGCGCGAAAAGCGCTCCGCGCTGAACACCCCCGACGATTGCGCGCTATTATGTCACCAAGGCAAGAAGACAATTATTCTTATATGGCTGTAATTAATGCGGACTAATTAATTAACCCGCCGGTAGACGCGGAAATTCGTAATCAGTCTAGCCGAGCGCGAAAGAGTCAGGGCTGGGTTAAGCACCGGCATTATACGATTAATGAATAGTCAGCAAGCCGCGCGGTCTTCTAAAGCAGCCATCGGGATCAAGTAATTTAATTGTCTAAAAAGGCAATCACGTCATATAAATATTATAGATATTTTGGCATCTATTATTATGGCTTGAATAAATTGAACGTACCGAGAATATATATCTTTGCGTAATTTAACAATTTTTTTAGTAGTCTCCGCGGTAAATTGTCTTTGGACGTTATTTATTGGTGTCAGAGTATACGTACCCAAAAAGGAACATTAAAACTTAAACAGGATACAGGATGCTTAAAAGTTAAAGACTGTGAGTTATTGCACGCTTTCGTGCCATCTGTCTGCAAATCACCGACCGTAAAAAAGAGGCGACATGGGTTTAAAAAAAATACTCTTGGGTCTGCTATCAGTTTTTCCGTTTGGCCGATGTTCCATCTAATGAGAAGTATTTAAGCGGCCGGACAACTGCGAAATATAACACTTTCTCTTACATTGGCTTTTGATAAGTTTTTATTACATCGATGTAAGAAAAATATTCTATCCTTTTTACTTGTCAATTGGAATGTTTGAAAAATCGAATCTAACTATTGAAATTACTTAACTTTCGATAGCAATATTGGTGAACTGCGTCCGTGCGTATTGCATTTTCTTTTTCTTACAGTATTCTACAATTTCTACAGTCAATAAATAAAAATTTAAAGCTTGAAAGACAATCGATACTATTTGACGTTTGACATTATTCAAACTCTGAACTCTTTATTGAATAATTTACAAAATTTATTTGAAACGGAATAACTTACAGAAAGCGACATATGCACTTCACTTAAATGCAAATGCAATATGTGCGTTTCACTTTGATGAGCAATAATTTGAAATTA